CCCGGTGCATTACATCCGCGCCATAAATAGACCCAACCTTTGGTGTTTGTGTGAACAAGGAGGGACGAGGAAGAGGCCGGGGGGATGTTTTGCTTAGTGGTGCGCGATGCCACGGCTTCTAAATTTGGCTTGGCGTTAATTTGTCGAAGAGGCGGCTGGCTTCCTTTGCTTACGAGCTGCTAAATCTGACAAAGCCACAGCGGCCAGGTCAGGTAAGCAGGTGCGCATCAGAAATGCAGAAAAGGCGTAGAATTGCTTAGAAAATCGCGGAAAATAGACGAAACCAGGAGAAAACTTAAACAGCCCTTGATTCCTTCAATAAAACTTGGAAAACCCGAAGAAACCACAAGAAATGCAAAAAAATCATAGAACCACCAAAAAAACACAGAAAATTATCGAAAACCCTTAGAAACACAGAACAGAGACCAGAAACACAAAAAAACTCAGAAACCCAAGCAAAACACCTTAAGCCATTGAAAAAACTCAAAAAACAGCTGCCGTGAGCAAGTCTTGTCAAAATCAAGGAAAACATGTGAAAAGCGAGCTCGGTTTGTGCATTTTGTATTTTTTTTAACTTGTTAGTAATATCAGGAAATTCCAAAAATATAGTTTAGGGCTGAGGATACCCGGACCAGCGATTTAGAATCCTTACCAGCGATTTAAAATCCTTACCAGCGATTTCCAACCCCTACCAGCGATTTCCTACCAGCGATTTTAAAATGTTACCAGCGATTTTAAAATGTTACCAGCGATTTTAAAATGCTTCCAGCGATTTTTAAATTCTGAAAATTACAAGTTACCGTGTATGGAGTACAAAATTTTAGGGTTTAACTCCTAAGCTGTATCCACATCTGTTTTTTGTTGATATTTGTTTTTATTGAATTGTTTTGTTGAGTTTCGTGTGTTTTGTTGGTGTTTCTGCTTGTTTGCAAGCTGGATTGTCCATAAAACATGTGTTTCCTAGGTTTCACATGATTTTCATGGTGTCGGCAAAGTTTTTGTGCATTTAGGGTTTTTTGTGATGTTTTGCTGGTTTGCTGATAGTTTTGTTGGTTTTTAATGGTTTTCCTGGGTTTTAATGGTTTTCATGGGTTTGTGGTGCCTTTTTAATGGTTTTTCGTTGGTGAAATGGGTTTGGTGTTGTTTTGCAGTGTTTATTTTGTTGTTTTTGTGGAATATGTATTGAAAAGACAACCTCAAAGCAGCTCTGCATGGGAAGAAGCACAACAAAAACCGGGTGCAGGCATTTGCTTTCTACGAAGAGGAAAGGAGACTTGGTAATCCTAGGCCCAGCACTCCGTGGGGCTTGGGCCCCCGCATCTGCCTTCTACGAAGAGGAAAACTCACTTGCCCATTCCAAGCCCCAGCATTCCGCCGAGCCCCGGCGCTTGCCTTCTACAAAAGGAAATGAACACCTGGACATCCCGGGCGCCCGCACGAACCGCGAGCCCTTCCTTTTTCCTTCTACAAAGAGGAAAGAACACCTGCCCAACCCAACCCCCCCGGACCCCGGGTCTCGGCCGGCACTCTGCCGAGCCCTGCCTTTTGCCTTCTACAAAGAGGACAGAGCACTTGCCCATCCCGAGCCCCGCACCACTTCAGGTCGTCTGAGGGAGGGGGGAACCCAGCATCATGAGCATCAGGGCCTCCCTCCCTAAATCATGGGCATCAGCTGCAGCTGGTGTGGCCGGGAAGCAGGCGTTCATTTGGGTCACCTAAATTTAGGTGACCCAAATGAACGCCTGCTTTCCGGCCACACCAGCTGTATGAGGGTCCACCAAGGTCCGTTTTATTGGGTTTTTGCTACTTTGGACCCTACTGTAGACCCTGCTAGAGGGGGGCAAAGTGTTTCCTTCTGAGGCAGGGTATACAGTCTCTTCGGCAGGGTCTACAGTGTGTGACAGACCGACCTGATAGCCCTTCATAACCAGCTGCACATGATGCGCCGCCAGTGCCTGCGAGCATCATGAGGGCTGGGTTTGTCACCAGCTATTATGGGGCGGCAACTTGTCTAGCTCCTCCTCCCCCAAAGATAACATGGCCTGAATGGCCAATGGCCTGGCTCGCACAAGTCGTAGACAAAAAACAGAAAGAAAGAGAGAGAGAGAGAGAGAGAGAGAGAGAGAGGCAGAGAGGCAGAGAGGCAGAGAGCAAGACTGATAGTGGTAGTTACGACAGCACAAAGGCACAAAACCAAGTTAAGTTTTGTTGGTGATGGCGACAGTATATAATTGTGGTGGCGGTTTCCTGGTGATGGGGAATGGGGGAGGTGCTTCTCTTGCTTGCTCCAGGGGATGATGGCTCGCGGCGGTGCAAATATTAAGATGATGATGATGATGATGATGATGACAATGATGATGATGACGATGATGACTGATTGATTGATGACAATGACAAGAGCGAGGGGTATGATGATGATGCTGGGTGATGACCCAGGTGAATGTGATGATGATGATGACGAGGAGGAGGGTGGTAATTTGTAATGATGATATAATGATTGACGTTTAGAATGCTGTTGCAGGGCTGTGACTGTGACTGGAGCGAGCACGGTTGAGGGTACTGCTGCCGATGACTTGACCTGATGATGACGTGTGTATGATTGGGGTGGTGGCAGTGGTGGTGCTATGGAGGACCGAAGATGGCACGCAGCAACAGAGTACAGTTCATGTGTGCGTGTGGTCGAGCTTGAGCTTAAGCATGATAGAAAGAGACAGAGAGAGGGGCACAGTGGCACATGGCACAGAAAGAGAGAGAGAGGGCATGTGTTGCGGTCAAGTTGTGGCACGGTCGTCAGTCGCTCGTCGCTCATAGCTGTCAGTCTTGTGAAGCCAGAAAGATTTCAGTGGTCAAGCGGTGCATACCAGTAAGCACATAGTCACATAGAAAGAAAGCAGCACGATAGCAGCAGAGCTGACGTTGTCAAGTTGTCATGTAAGCTTATGGACCGGGTCATTTACAGCCGTGCATAGTCGTGGCTTTGCCTTCTGCTGTCATGGCAGAAACCGATCATGTTTTGAAAGATTTGGAGACGGATGCAATCTCTTCTCCTGTGCGTGCGTCGTCGTACAAGAGACAGAAACGTCGGGAATGTTCGTGGTTCGCTCCAGGCCCTGAGGATCTGTCTGCGGCACTGACTTACAACACGCAGCAAACAGACCACTTGCTGCAGAACGTGCCTGCAATGGGCCATGGCACCAAAGAGCATTTGCGAGAGATTGTTGACATGAACATTGTGGTGACCACATGTTATTCCGGAACAGGTTGCTTCGAAGGTGTCTTTCGTGAGGTCCTGGCCCACCTGCGCTCACAGTTTCCAGATTTCGCCGGAGATGCTTGCAGCTATGCCGCCACCGAGCGGAATGCTGCTGCACAAGCATGTTTGCTGAAGCATAAAGCTGGAATTGGCCACATTTTCGAGGACGTTTTGGGCAGACTGCCGTCACTGGCAAGGACCCAGCTGAAAAATATGGAGCAACGGGCCCTAGCAGATTACAAGTGCTTGCAGCAGGAGCTGACTTTGCAGCAGATTGACAAAGCGAGTTTCCTTAGGATGAAGCAAAGACTGGAGTCTTCCTATGTCAGTAGCTTGAAAGAAGTGCTTGCCGCTGTAGAGTTCAACGACACCGATTTTTGCTTGGTGCATGGCAGGCAGTGCTGCATATCCCCCCGGAGTGATCCTGCACTGAGGACAGCATACTGGGTAGAAGCGAGCGGCAACACATGTTGCCCATGGTCAATCATGTCGTCCTCTAAGGGCGGATGCTCAAACGGATGGCTGGACAGTGCCACGTTGCCTTTTCTCACGTGGGCATACAGCACACGCTTTTACGAACCGGACACAGTCTTGCAAGAGAACGTGAAAAGCTTTCCTGAGGCAGAGCTTTTTGACATCATTGGCTGCTTCGAGCCGGGCGTGTTGAAGCACATCCAGACGAGGCCCTTGGTTGCTTCTGAAGAGGAGAGGAGCCCCAGGAGGTACCAAATGTGTTCACAAGTGTTTTCTCCCACTGATCTTGGAGTCCCGAGTTCGAGATACCGGAAGTACACGGCTTTGCATTTGAGTCCTTGGGTCCGGTGCAACTTCAGTCTGTCCTTTGCAGATGTTTTCTTTCGATCCTTGAAGACGTCGGCCGGCATCTATTTGGAAGCAGTTCCTGATCATGTTCATCACAGCGAATTGCGTGCTAGATCTCAGGTTCGTGCATCCGGGAGTGCAGGCCAGGAACGAAGCCAAGTAGATGGACTCTCCGCAGGCTGTTGTGGCAGGTTGGAATCTTGGGTTTGCTGGTCGGAGCAGGACGCCCAGAATGTGAAGTTCAGAGATGCAAGCGGAGGCTGGCTGTTTCCCTTTGTGTTGGTTGACTTGAGCCAGAATGCTCGCTTCCGAAACACTGCAATAACAGCTGAAATGCCATGTCTTCTCACGAACACACTCTTGTGGGATTTGGTTCGGGAACGGCTGGTGCCAGTGGCAGTGCACTGGCTGGCTCAGGGATTTGCGCATCCTGATGCTTCCGGCGTTCCAGAACACATTAAGGCCTCCTTCCCATTTGAGGAATCCTTGTTGCGAGCCGATTCACCAGAAGGGCTCACGGAGGCGTCCCAGCGGACACTCACTGGCAACGCCATGCACTGGAACTGCGTGGGAGCTTGGATGCTGTACAATTTTGCTTTCTCAGACAAGTCCCGAATGCTTCCCAACCATCGCTGAGAATGCATCATATTTTTCGGCGCCTTGTGTTAGGCTTGCCTGTAGTGCTGAGTGCTGATTTACTCTAGAGACTTTAGAATGTGTGTTGCGCAAAACCATGGGAGTTGTGCAGGCCGCATCAATCACTGTGCGATCAAGTCTTTCTTGCAACATGTTGCAGTTCGCTGTCACAAATTTGATGTGCATTGAGAGATGCTGTTGCTGGAGGATTGAGGTCAAATCCTGGCCAACCCTCTGGCCTCCGTAGTGAGTGTCAGGGTTTTTTCCGTAGTGGGTGGAGCTGGGCAGCATGGCTGACGACGAGTTCGACGGCGACGACTTGCCCGAAGAGCTTGACGTTCAAGCTCCTTCGGAGGAGGAGGAGGGTTGTGATTCCCAGCAATCCAGTGCAGAGGGGTCAGTCACTGGGAAAACAACACGGGGGCGGGCCAAGTCAAAGGCTCAACCGAAATCCCGAGCCCGAGGTAAGGGCTCGAACAGACTCAAGGTGATCAACGACAAGGGCAAGAGTCGAAACCGTGTGACGAAGGATGGCAAAAAGTACTGCCCGGCATGCGGGAAAATGCTGCCGGTGACTGAGTTCCCAGCAGGGTCCGGGCAGTGCGCCAAGGACAGAAAGGCCATACAGGTCTTGAGGAATTGTGCCGTCAGTCAGAACCAGCTTGAGTGGTGGGAAGAAACAACCCGCGACCCCAAGAAGCTCAAGAAAGTGGTCGCCTCGTACCATGCCCGGGCACCTCCTCCAGGCAAGAAGCGGAAGGAGCAGTTCAACATCTTGCAGTACATCGAAGAACGCCGCCAGGAAAGCGCCGTGATCTTTGATGGAGTCATGGAGATGATGTCGGAGCAGATGTACGTCGCCTGGATGGCGAAGCCGAAAAACGGAGGGATGGACCCTTTGGAAGCGGCTGCCGAGTGGAAGACTTTGTATTCGACCCCAGGTGCCATCACGGATGACTTGGGCAGGAACCCGAAGTACAAGGAGCGGGTGGCCGTCAAGAAGACGGACCTTGTAAAGTTCCGAGATGCAAGCATTCGGTCGCAGGTCTACTCGATCAAGGACAAGGAGCAGAAGAAGGCCACCCAGGCAGACATTGACAGAGCTGAGGCGCGACTTTCCAAGGATGCTAGCTTCCTGTCGACCAACGTCCGTGGCCGTGTTGACCAGGCTGCTGCCATGGTCGAGATGGCTTCTTCGGCCGGCAATGACGGTGGTGCCTTTTCCTCCGAGGGCAAAGCGGCACTCCACGTCGGGAATGTCAAGGACCTCCTCTCCGAGGATGAGGCCGAGATGGACGAGGGCGGTGATGAGAGCGATGCTGGCATGACCCCCTCCGCCACCGCATCAGACAACGTCACCCCGAAGAAGAAGCGAGATGGGGATATGGACTCATTGGTTTCAGGGTCGGACAAGAAGCCGACCAAGAAGCCCAAGAAGGAGACGTGGTTCGACCGGGATGGGGTTGTGGCCTCAGCGTTGAAAGTCCACCAGACTTGGATGAACAACACCAAGGCCGCCATCACCACCACGATTCAGGGGCTCAAAGAGGCTTTGGAGAAGAGCAATGACTTTGCTGAGGACGTTAAGAACGAAGCCCGGTTGGCCCAGAATCGGCTTCAGGCGCTCAGGCTCATTTCGGGTGATAAATGCACCCAGGATGGGGAGCCTGAAGAGGCCGAGAGCTCCGCCTTGGCTGCCCCTGCTCCGGCTGCCCCAGACGCACAGCCAGCTGGCCCAGCCGGGCCAGCCGATGCTTCACAACAAGTCGAGTCCAAGGACAGTGCCAAGGAAGGCGACAAGGACGACGGGGTCAAGGGTTCAGGTTCAGATCAGCCGGCGGAGAAGGAGCAGGAGAAGGCCCCACCGGCAGATTCCGCGTCCAGCTTTGAGAGATTTGTGCGATCCAGCTCTTTCAACGCCAAGAAAGCACTCCGCAAGTACATTGCCTCCTTCAGCACGGACGACAAGAAGCCTCTCGGCTCGGCCCCGCCATGCCGGAGCTATCAATCTTTGGTGGTGTTCGCGGAGTTCGAAGAGAAGTTGGCGGAGATCGAGGCCGCGCAAACCAAGGAGAGGTTGGTCCAGATCCAGAATGACATGAAGCCGTTCAAAACTGCGTACGCAGACCTTCTGAGCATGGCAAAAGCCGCCAAGAGTCGGCTTGCGAGTGCCACTCAGGATGCTGCCAAGCAGCAGCAGAAGCGGAAGGATGAGCAGGATCAGGTGGCACAGGCCAAGCGAAAACCCGGACGTCCCAGGAAAGAAAACACGGCAGCAGAGACCATGGTTGCGGCCCCGAACTCCGTGGCCACGGACATCGAGAGCATCGTCATCAAGGAAGATGGAAAGCCAGCTTCGGATTTGAACCTGGAGCTGCCTCTTATCTTCCGAATGGATCCCAAGCAGGTGGCAGAGTTTGCCGCTGTGAAGACAGCCACCCTGGCTGTGCTTGAGCAGAAGTTCAAGAATGATCCTGCCAGGACCTCCACCGGCAGATCCCAGCGAGCCCCTCCTCCGGATCAAAAGTCTTCGATTGTGGACTTTGTGCACAAGCTGTTCCCGGAGGGGCACATCCTGGAGAGCGCGAAGATCCCGGACAAAATCAAGAACGAGCTGCTGGTGCCGGCAGCTTTCATCGTTGCTAAGTCATGGGTCACAGCCTCTGCAGAAGCAGGACATCTTCCCACGTGCCGTGTCGGCTTTGGAGGCACGCGAGCTGTCGTTGCAGTTCGCGCTTCGAACTTGCTTGAGCATGTGAGCCAGGGAGGAGGCGGCAAAGCTGATTTGGCCCGCTGCTACCAGTGGCTCAAGTCGGCCAGCAAGGAGGCTGCAAAGGCTTTCGTGGATGCCAACCCGACCTCCAAGGTCTTGTTCCATGCAACCGTGGGGCCGAATGATATCCTGTTTCTACTTGCGGGGTGGATGTTCTACGAGTGCATCAGCAACGGCGGCAGCTTCTTGAGTCCGTGTTCAGTATCTCAGTTTGTCATCGTTGGCCCAGCTTCATCACTTGAACAGTTACTTGCTGTCACTGGGAAAACCCAATGCAGCATTGCAGTCCGCAGTGGATTGCCTTTCGCTTGCTGAGGCCTAGAGCTTCACGCAGGCACGATCTTTCAAGAGCTCGCAATGGGGCATTGCGAGCAAGAGACGAAACCTCGAAGCTTTTGTGAAAGTTGAGGTGACTGACAAGTGGCGCCGCTGCTGTGTAGTGTGTAGGGAGCATGTCATGTCACTCTCTGTGGATGTTCTGTGTTTGCATTGCCAGAGAGAGAGCGGGAGTGAGTGGTTGCGAGTGTGGCAGAGAATTTCCCTCTCCCTCTATCTATGTCTCTATCGCGCGCACGCACGCACCGAAAGCCCGAAACACCGTTTCTGCTCTACTGGGCTCGCCCAGTTGAACTGTTGAAAGTTTTCGAATTCTAGGGAGGGCGGGCGGGCCGAAAAGAATTTAGTTTTCAGTTTACCATGACACGATTTAGTTTCTTGACTTTGAGTTTTCAGTCGCTGTCGTTCTCAGTTCATTCAGTTTCGTTCGCATCTTTCAGGCTCAGCTCAGTTTTTGGTAGTTAGGGGGCAAAGGCTCCTGCGGACGTAGATGTCATGGCCAGAGCTGCAAGGACAGGAGCTTGCAGCAATCAGAGGGGCTTTCGCGACCCCATTGCAATTGCAGGCTGCTTTTGATGGAGCTGCAGAGGCGGCAGAGTTGATAGAAGTCTTCTTGCCTGGGATAAGTGCTGAAGCGAGGGATCAGAGGGCCGAGCTTCTGGTTTCTTGGGCGAGGGCAAGTGCGAAGAGCCACAAGCGGCAGAGGAGAGAATCCTATGGCCGTATGTGGGAGACCTTGCCGCAGCGAGCGGCAAAGCCCAAGCTTGCAGAGGCGTTTGATGAGCTGGCGAGAAGCAATCCGTTGGTGTTGTTGCCTGCACTTCAACGGAAGAGGCGTCTAATGCGTGACAGCACGGATGCCAGTCAGCGTGCTGAGGAAGAGAGGATTGCACGGAAGAAATATGCTTTGCTACTTGCAGATGTCATCAAGGAGGCAAACCTTCCCTTGCGGCAACAGCTCGAAGCTGTTGAAGATCCCGAGCAAGTCTGGCCTAGGATTTTCGGGACACGAAGGAGCAAGACTTTAAGGAACCGCTATCGGAGTTGGCAACCCTTCCGTGCATGGTTGCAATGCGTGCATGAGGCCAAGTGGCCTACAGGTATAAATCAGCTGATTGATTATAGCAACGAGAGGTTTCAGAATGAATGTGGCAAGACTGTCTTGAATAGCCTCCAGGCTTCCTTGGCTGTGCTGGAGCAGGTTGGAAGGGTGACAGAGACCAATCGTCTGTCTACAGATGGGACATGGCTTGCCCATCTACAGTCGCTTACAGCAGACCTTGTGAGTGCACAGGGGACAGTGCATCAGGCCCCGATGATGACAGTTGCTATGATTATTTCATTGGAGCTGCATGTTGGGAGAGAGGATGAGCCTGAGTACTATCGGGCAATGGCATTCGTGGCATTGTTGGCAGTGTATGGTTCCATGAGGATGGACGACTTGCAAGGCCTCTTGCCAATCACTATGAAGATCACTGCTCAAGGCTTTCGTGCCCCATTAGGGCGCACGAAGACGACTGGGGCGGATCGCCGCAACAAAGAGGTGTCGGTCTTTATCCACCGCCAGGCAGGGCTGTCAGGGTTTGATTGGCTTGGCGAGGGTTTTAAGATTTGGCAGAAGTACAAGCAGCCACGAGACTTCTTGGTTTTAGTTGCAAGGGAGGACTGGGAAGGTCCCACCAAGCACTACGCAAAGGCAGAGGTCGTTGCAGGGTATGTGCGCGCGGTTTACAAGAGGCTTGGCACCCCGAAGTTGGAGGCAGGTACCTTTCGCTTGAATACGCAGAGGTTGCTCTTGGTTGAGGGGGCGCACGGCTTCTTTACAGGGCACACACCGCGCAATTGGCTCACATCGGCGGCTGCCGTGTTGGGTTGGCCGAAAGATCAGAGAGACTTTCTAGGTCGTTGGATGATAGGCGGTTCGGGGTCTGCAGACTATACGCGGACTGCGAGAGAGATTGTACATCAGATCCAGTTTGGAGTCTGCAAAGCCATTGTAACAGGCGAAGGTACCGTGTACCATGAGGTTGAAGCCCTTGACGAGCTCAAGAAGTACGTGGACAACCACGGAGGTTCAGGGGCACTTGCTAGGCGTCGCCACGATGTCTTCAAGGTTGTTGATGGCGTGAGGTGCTTGGGAAACAAGTGGCCAACTGTAGAGCTTGAAGAGACTGACCTTAGCGAGGACGAAGGTCCAGGTGAAGCAGAGGCTGTGCAAGGCAGCAGCACAAAATACTTCATCAGCATCAGCCGAAAGGCTGGCTACCGACGCTTGCATCTCAATGGGCCGTGCCACGTCAAGCCTCACCATTGCAGCAAGGTTGAGTACGTAGACCGTGTTGTGCTTGACCAGATTGATAGCATCTGCCGTGATTGCAAGCATCGCATGAGGGACGAGCAAGGCATGGAGCCCAGCCAGGACACCAGTAGCGAGAGTGCGTCCACAAGTGACTCTGATAGCGTTGAGAATTGAGTGTGTGAAATCATTCTGTTAGGATCGGCTGAGTTGCGAGGGCATGTGCTGAGTGACGTGAGTGCGGTCGGGAATCCAACTGAATGTGCACCTCAGGATCTGTCTGCGTGAGTGAGTTGAGTTAGGCAGGATAATACCGTGGCCGTGTCAGGTTGCAGTCATGTTCGTTCATCACATGCATGGTTCATCCGACTTTCAGTAACATGAGGGACACCAGCTTCACATGTTTGTGAAATTCAACATGTCAGGGACAGTTTGTGTCAGCTGAGCAGTTGACTACCGCTAGCGAGGCGGTTTCAGTATCAGATCGTTTACACGACGACAGCTCGCAAGCTGCGGAGGTG